AGTGATTTGTCCAGATTACAGTGATTTGCGTCCCCTAGGATTAACATGGGGTTGTCCGGTTTGTCTCTTAAGTGCTGGTGAATACAGTCCGCGATCTGGCTCGCTGCCTTTGCGGCATTCCCGTTTGGTGGCACATACATGACACACAAATATGTTGGTGAACTCTCTCAGGAGGTAGTGTGGTCGCAGGGATATGCACAGCAGCTCCAGATTGGGGTTGCAGAATGTCTTTTGTGGCAAAATTCCGACACCAGCTGTCGCGAAGGTATACGCAGAGACCCCTCTCGTTTTCCCGGAAGAGTCATCTCGATCCGTGCATATGTGAGTGAACCCGTCTATTTGAATGAGATTGTCCGGGACATCCGCGTGAAACCAGGTCTCGGTAAACACCAGCAAGCCGGACTCACGATATTCGAAGCTTGCTCTTGCCTGGGTGCGCAACTCGTCCAGTTTGTTCTTGAGCGATCGCTGATTGCAGAGCAGGATGGGCGGGAGTGGAAGTTTGACAGCTCTCCACACCCGCTGTCGAACACCTCCTCTCCTGCCCCGCTTCCTGATCCTCTTGAGACGGCTCGGCGTTGGCGTGGGTCGCCGCTGTAATTCCACGGGAATGTCTTCCAGCACGCTTGGTGACAGCAGAAGTCCATACACCCGCAGGTTTCAGAGCTCGATCCCGCTGTGTCTGAGTTGTCCTGAGCTGGAGAGCACGCCAGCAAAACACCGTGCCGGCAGCCCAGATACCGTCAGCCATACAAAAAACAGTGGCTTCATTCTTCTCCAGTTTGATGCACCAACGCTCAGATTGACGCATAAACCCAAGCACAGACAAAGTAAATGCTGTGAACCAGTGTGCAGAGCAACACCAAACAACATAACGCACCACAAACAACCCAACAGAGTGCAGCAGCAGGGAGCCTCCGACATGTCGCCTGCAGAGCAGCGCCATCTTGGATTCAGGAAATGAACGTTTCCTGGAATGGTTTGACTGTTTTCATGTTAAAAACTTCGCAAACTGGACCGCTAATAAGAGAGGAGGCGAGTTCCATAGCACTAACTATGTGCATCGAAGACTTCGAAGTGTCCCTTGGTTGGCTTCAAAAGTTCGTTGCGCGACATCAGCTGAGCAATGCTGTCATGTGTGGTGATCGAGGGTAGGTAAAGTAAGAGACAATGAGTGAGTGGAAAGAAAAACCACCAGGCCTCTTACTCGTCTCATTTTGTAGCAAATAGTCCTAACTTTTTTGTACTTTGTATTTTTTTACATACCTGGACTCTATGCTGCAGTTTTTATGTTATAAAAGTTTTTGGGCAATATATTGTTTCACTTTGTTGCTTGTGTTGTCACACATGTATGTTGTTAACATACTTGGACGTTCATACAGGACATATAGCATAGTTGTTTAACTGTTCTCATTTAAAAAAAAGTATGTTCATACTTTAATGATTTTGTTCTGTTGATGTTTGGTCTGGACTGTCAACATATGCAGTTTTTATATGTACCGTATCTTGTGCTGACCCGGCCCACCTGTCAAATTTTAGAAATCAATGTGGCCCCCGAGCCAAAAAGTTTGCCCACCCCTGCACTACAGTAAAGAAAGGGGTGCACAGTCAGTGTGTCAGAGATGTGGCAGCTCCCCAGCCCATCCAAAATGTGATTGTCCCGCTCATGAGCCAAAATGTCATGCTTGCCGGAGGAAGGGACATTTTAAGCCTGTGTGTAAGTTCAAATCTGCGCATTAAGTTACAGGTGACAAAGAAGACAAGAACGAGGAGGAGGTCCTCCTCGACAGTATTACGACAGACCGTGACCCCGTGCATGGTCAAAATTGACATTAATCAGCGCAGTGTGATGTTCAAAATAGATATGGGTGACGTTGCATGCCGAGGCAGTGTCACTATGGAGACATTAAAGAAGAACTATCCAAAAATATGCACTGGGCTAGGAGAGACGCGGCAGCCGTACAACATCAAGGTGAAACCAGGGGCTGAACCTTTCTCATTTAAAACACCAAGGAGGATTCCATTGCCATTACTGGACAAAGTCAAGCAAGAGCTATCCCGCATGGAACGACTTCGGGTGATAAGCAGAATCGAGAAGCCAACAGACTGGTGCGCTGGCCTCGTGGTGGTGCCCAAAAAATCAGGTGCTGTACGCATCTGTGTCGATCTCACCAAACTCAACGAGTCAGTGTGGAGGGAAAAGTATATCCAGCCGTCAATGGAGGAAACACTGGGCATGCTGGCTGCAGCCAGAATTTTTAGTAAGCTGGATGCAAAAATGGGGTTTTGGCCAACACCCCTAACACCTTCGGGCTCTATTACTTCAAGTGGCTACCTTTTGTAATAGCCTCCGTCCCTGAACACTTTCAGAACCGAATAGTAACAGAGGTTACAGAAGGGCTGTGTATGCCACATGGACAATGTGCTAATATGAGGCCGAACACAGGAGGAGCATGATGCCCGCCTGCATGCTACTTTGGAGAAGATCCAGGAGGCAGGAATCAGTCTCAAAGTCAAAAGTGTGAACTGTCGAAGTCAGAGGAGACATTTCTAGCCAATGTGATCTCCGACAGTGGGATCAGGACAGACCCAGGCAAGACTGAGGCAGTCATGTTGATGACGGAGCCAACGAATGCAACAGAGTTGAGAAGTTTTCTCGGAATGCTAAACCAACTGGGGAGGTTTGTGCCTCGGTTGGTAGAGAGAAATAAGCCTCTCTGTGGCCTCCTGTCCAAAAACAACTGTTGGGTATGGGGTGTTGACAATGCGCGAGCCTTTCAAGATTTAAAGGATGCACTGACGTCCACACCAGTGCTAGCTATGTACAATCCCAACAGGGAGAGCAAAGTCTCAGGAGACGCGTCGTAGTACGGTTTGGGAGGAGTTCTTCTCCAGAAGTAGGAGGAAGAATCGAGGCCAATAGCCTGTGTGTCACGGTCTCTCAAATCTATGGAGCAGATATATGCACAAGTGGAGAAGGAGGCTCTGGGGCTAACCTGGGCCTATGAGAGCATCCGCAACTTTCTCATTGGGAACCATTTCCTGATGGAGACGGACCACAAGCCTCTCCTGAGTCTCCTGGGGTCCCAAGCCCTGGATGCTTTTCCTCCGCGGATCCAATACTTCAGAATTCGACTTATGCGCTTACTCAATCGCTCACGTCCAAAGAAAATGCCTGTGGACGGCCGACACACTGTCTCGAGCTCCCATGGAGAGGGCGGAGAGACCAGCTGACAAAGAATTGTTTGAAGATCTATGCGGACATGGTAATGGAGAACCTACTGGCGACCACCAAATACCGAGAAAAGCTGAGAGAGCAGCTGCAGAGGGACAGTGTGTGTGCACAGGTGATGCAGCTGTGCACAGAAGGCTGGCCTGAACACGGCCAACGGCACTCAGGCTGTACAGAGCAGAGCAAGTGTTCCTTGCAGTCCTTACGAAAGAATCCTACTGAAGGGACAGAGACTCATCATACCTTCAACCATGAGAAATGACGTTCTCGCCAAACTGCACGAAGGTCACCAAGGCATGGTAAAGTGTAGACAGCGGAAGAGGCGATTCCATAGCCGTACCGAGGCTCCGTTGGCCTCCACAAAGTCAAATGAGGTAATCCGTCATCTTAAATCAATCTATGCATGCCACGGGATCCCAGACCTTTTGGTTTCGGATAGAGGGCCCCAGTTTTCCGGAACGGCCTTCGCAGCGTTCGCAGAGTCCGATGGGTTCTGTCACATTACAAGTAGCCCACGATACCCTCACGGCAATGCCGAGGCAGGACATGCAGTTCAGACGGTGAAAGGACTCTTGAAAAAAAGCAGATGACCTCTATCAGGCAGTACTTGCATACAAGGCTACCCCTCTCGAAAAAGGGTAGTCCAGCTCAGCTTCTCATGGGGGAGACTACGCACAACCGTACCTATCCTTCCTGTCCTGCTCAACCCAGCCAGCCTTGACCGAGAAGCCGTTATACAGAAAGAACGTGGCAAGAGGACAAAAGATAGCGTGTATCTTTCTTTACAACACGCAACATTCTGCACAGAACCTTGTCACTCAACCCAGGACAGGATGTGTGGATTAAGGACCAAGGAGCAGGATCCTTCATTGAAAGACATGCCTCTCCACGATCATATCTGGTGGAGGGACCCCATGGGACCATCAGATGAAACTGTCGTCATCTCATCCCAATGAGGTCATCGCCTGAGCAGGGTGGCCGTGGTGCAGCAGAGTTCTCGGGAGGCTTTCCAGAAAAACCATCAGCAGAACCACCACAGCAGTCTTCCAGACCCGCCATTTACTCCTACTACTAGAACTAGGTTTGGGAGAGTTGTGGTGAAACAAACCAGGTTGGATTTATAATTGTTTTTTTTCCCTTCTTCGTTCTTCCTCCGACTTTTCAGAGACAATCATAAGTTAAAAAAGAAAAAAAAATTATGGAATGTTGAGATATGATTGTAAATGTTGTTCTTTTCACTGTAAAATGTTTACAGAGCGTAGAGGAGGATCAGTTAAGATGGATGTTCAAGTTATTGGTTTTGGAGTGGATTGTTCAAACTAACAGTAACCTTGCTTATGCGTACGTGATCCTTTGGCAGTCTTAGGCAGCATACCTTACAACCATGAGGCATAATAATCCTCAAGGTCTGTTCAATCATTGGTAGTCTATCCAATGATTTTAGAGAGGGGAGATGTGGTGTAATCGTGTACGACAAAAACTAGTCGCTGTGCGATTACGTCACGGGTGTGCGTCGGGAGCGGGAGATGAGAGTAGGGATGAGAGAGCCAGATACGCATCGCGGAAGCATAAGTTATCCACGTTAACTGAACAGTTGGACTCATGTGTGCCTCATTCAACATGACAAGTATCAGGTAGCACCACCTAGAAACCGAATAACTCCAAAAACAAGTAGCAGCAGCAAGAGTGTTTTACACAAATATAAAAAGCAATGGGTATGCAGATGGGGGAAAGTTTTATCTTCCTTTTTGTCTGCTTGTGCCAGAATCTCTAATTGAGAAAATGAATAGCATGAACATGTTTTCTTCACATCTGAGGAAAACGAAGCCTTTCATGTTCTTTTTGCTTGAGTGCTACAGAGCAAATATTGACTCTGAATTGACATGCTTGATATTCCCCAAATTCATATTTCAGCAAAGAAGTTACTTTTCCCAGACTTCCTCACCGAAAATCTAAACTCGTCAATACAAGTCTTGTCAATGCTCATGGCCCTGACCATCATAACATCATAAGCGTGACGTTGATGAATTAAAAGAACTTGACAAAAAAAAGTGCCACTTTGTTTTTTTTTTTTACCGCCGCCAAATCTTTTTCCAAAGTCTCCTGAAAAAAGAGATTTTAGTCTTTTTTTCCTGCACTTTTGGCAGAGCGTTCATCTTTTCTTTAAAAATTGTGCTCTTCTCTGGACAAACTTTGCGCCTCTTCATCCTGGCAAAGAAGTTTCTCACCTTTTTAAAACATCTTCTGTCCAGGAAACGTGTTTCTGGGACTGGAAGTTGTGGCAGTCCAAGAGCTGAACTATGAACCACATCTTTTTTTAATTTTCGGGTCCTTTTTGAAGCCAACAGTTTGTGCTTCGTATTCTTTTTGCTTTCAGCAGTTAAAGGTTTTGGGGATGAGGTTGTGTTGTTTTCTTTGGTAGTTGACTGCACCTTTGTGGCCTCGATTGTCTTTTCATCCTCAGGAACCTCAAAAAGATGGTGTGGACAAGGGTGTTCACTATCATCCTGTGATTCTGTTGCAATTGGGTGAACTTTGCACATCTGGCGTCTTGATAAGATGTCAGTAAAGTCGGCCTGGTTCTCTGCACTATGTGGAGCTGCCATGGAGTTTTCAGGAGGTTCTTCTGCAACAGATGACATTTTCACACTCTGCTCTCCTTGCACATTTGTGAAATTTGATGCCTCATCTTCTCTTCTGGTATTATTATCTAACACAGACCTGGGCATATTACGGCCCGCGGGCCGGATCCGGCCCGTTGGTCTTTTTAATCCGGCCCGGTAGTTGGTACAGTACACAATTAAGGTTCGATGTCAATGATTGCATTCATTTCATTTGGACGTGTAATGACAGGCATTTCAACGCCAGGTGGCGGAGTTACTTGAAGTTGCAGAGCACAGGGAGGGAGAGGAAGACGATACGGAAGCCCGCAGTCGCGCTAACTCAAGTAACTCCGCTCGATACGACGGAATACGTGTGTCTGCGGCGCAATTTACAATCATTGGATTCAAAACGACGACATGCAAG